TGAATGGTAAGTTTTATTGAACATTTATTTTCCATACAGTTGTCATTACAACTTCACAAGTCTGCCCATTCATTTTGGAGATCCAAGTCTCCAAAATGAATGGGCGCAGGGAAGGGTAAATATACTTATTAATTGTCTAGTCTTACTATATAAAACATTTTTTTGTATTCATGTGACCACAACCTCTGTCCCCAAAGGACTTTGCAGTGCACACTAGATAAGGGAAATAATCTAAATTACTTTGTTGTCATTTTACACTTATTTTTAGTTAGACTGTATTAAAGAAAAGTGCTCTGGCGGTATTATGAGGATTATTACGTGTATCTTTTGCTTCTCTTACGTACTTCTTTTGTTTCTCTTCTTGTTAAAGACACCAGAGGAAGAGCATTGCCAGTTCCCATCCCACAATATATTAAGAATCGTCTCATCACTTTGTGCAAGGATGCAGCGTTCACTGTCCGATGCTCTATATGTCACAAAGTACTGATTTCACATCAGGCAGCCCAAGCGCACTTCAAGTACGTTTTGTTGTGATTTACTCAGTACATGTGCCTGTGTTCCTTTGATATCACAAATTTGTATAGCACACACTTACTTTGTTCAGTTGTTTTGTGGAACTCATTTTCCCTTTCCTTTTCGTTTCTTAGTGTACACTGCAGACAAGGCTGTGCGGTGGCCAAGGCTGATAAAACTGTAGTGCAGGTAATGAAACAGCTGCAAGTGCGAGGGCAGTGCTCCCTCTGCTGTCTAATGTTCCACAGCCAAGCTGAAATTGAGAGTCACAGAGAATCGACCCAGCACGACGTGGAGATCAACCAAACGATGGATAAAGCTGTCCTTCAGTACTGCAGGTTCAGTGAAATTCAACACACACAGAGGGCTGGAGGGGCACGGGGGAAAAGCCAGTCCACTGGCCTTGAAACGCCTTCTCAAAAGAGAAACAAGAAGAGGGGCAATTGTGAAGAATCTTCGACCAAACGGCAGAGACTTAGCCAGGGTGTGAACGGCAGCACTGGCAGGAACACGGCTACAGTGTGGTGCTGTGAGTGTGGTTTACAGTTCCCAGAGGAGGCTGCTGCCAGTAAGCATCTCTTGGCTGTGAACCAGATTTTCCATCAGTGTGGCGTGTGTGGCAAACACATGGGAGAGTCCTCAATTACCCGCCTGCATATGAGTCGCTTTCACGGGGGAGCTCATCTCTCCAACTTCCTCTTCTACTGCCGCAAGTGCAAAGTGGAAATGCCTCGGTACGAAGACATCCTGTCGCACGTGTCAGAAGATCACAGTGGGCACACCTACTTCACCGAACAAGAATTGCCCGAGGAGCTCGTCGGGGCCATTGATGCCAAACCGTCCACCAGCACCCTACCTTCATCCTCCACAAAGTCAATAATCCAACAGAACACAGTAGAGACATCTTCTTTAATAGCAGAGCAGACATGGATGTGCAGGATGTGCGAGGACGTCTTTGACTCGGAGGCGGACGTCCAGAAACACTGCAGTGACGTGAGCAGTCACAGCTTTCAGAGGTTCATCTGCGGACACTGCCCTCAGAAGTTCTTTAAAGAGTCCACCGTCCGTAGACATTGTATGAACGAGCACGGTGGGGAGATAAAGAGCTCCCACTTCTGCGGCCTCTGTGACAGCATGCAGTTTGAATCTGAGGGCGAGTTCTTGGAGCACTACAAGAATCTTCACAGTAAGGACTACTACTGTATGGACGGTGGTGACGTTCAACCCACTGCTGTGGAGAGCACCAGTGAGCTCACATGCCCATGCATGGGCTCAGAAAAGAGAAAAGATGAAAGGAGAGCTACGTATACACAATGCATGAGGAATCTGGCAGATGAAGGAAAATGTCTGTATGTGTGTGCTCCTTGTGTCATATCTGTGTCTTCCTATGCACAGATGAAGACTCACGTCCACACTAAACACACAGCTTTGAACCTGGACAAGACCTTTGACGTAGAATGCAAAGCTTGCAAGGAGAGTTTTTCTGGCGTACCAAGTTTCCATAAACACTATCACTCCCGACACTGTACACTGGAACCTTGCATGAGCTCCAGGACCTGCAGTAAGGACAGGAAAGCAGAACCAACCCCTGTAAAGATAGTCAATGCTGTGGAGATCAAACCGAACACCAATGGTAAACACTTTAAATCCTTTTATATTTATTATCTTTATTTGCATGCAGCATTTAATTCTTCTATATTGTCATTTCAGAGATTGAAGATGAAACACTGGTGAAGTTTTTGGAAATGGATCAGACCAGTAAAGAAAGCGAAGCACTTGAAAGTAAGAAGAAACAACACATTAACAGCACAAGCCACATAGAAAAATAGATAAGCAAGCCAATGCAGAGTATAGCTATATTACATCCCATTTTAGTATTTTTGTTTTTTTGTGATGTATCGATTCTTAAACCCCTCCCCCAACTGCTAGATGTCTGTTCAAGGCATGGATGTTCGATGACACAGGCACTGTGATACACAAATGCAGATCCTACTGTTCTGTTGCTTTAAAAAAAACTTTTCTCAGATTTATTGCATATGGCAGACCCCGTTCAACAGGAACAGATCCTTAGTTATTACAATTATTAACACCTGTGTTTACCCTACTATTTAATGTAAAAATGGCTGCTGTATAAAAGGTCCATTAGACATACTGTATTGCATATAAAAAGCCTTAAATAACCAGTATATACATTTAAAATGCCTTATCGTTGTTAAAAGTAATCGTGTTTGGTTGTCTTTAAGTACCAGATGCTAATTGTTGGTGTATTCTGTTCCAGATGAATCTGACGAGGAGATGGCTGTGAGCGCAGAAGAGGCAAGAGAGTCCGCAGGTATGTGTTAATGTGGCTGAGCGTGTTTCACCAAGAGAAATGTGTATAACTCATCGCAGCCTTCAGGCTACGACTGAATTGTGAAGATTATACATTTGTTCCAGTAGCTACGACCTCTGCTGCATTGTTCTCTCTTTGCTGAGTTGTGTACTTGTTACTGACTGATGACATTTTACTGCAGAGGATTTAATCAGACAAACATCGCCTGTATGTTGGTCTTAGCAGTGGGCCCTTTTTTATAACTGTTCAGTGTCCCATAAAAGCAAAATCTTTAATACTAAAAGCAATTTAATCAAAAGATATTTAACATATAATACCACTATAGATTTGTCCCAGCATGGTTAACAATGGTGTTGCAAACCTGGATCCTTATATTATGTTTTTTTCTTCTTTACAGAGTTGGAAGAAGCTCTTAAAAGAAGTCTTCTGGAGTTTTAAGGACGTGATGAGATTTGTTTTCTTGTGACAAAATGACCAGACATTATATCGAGATGTTTTGTATCAGATATGTCTGTTCAGATTATGTTAAATAAATGTTAGTTGCTATTTCACTTTTTCTGTGTTTTTATTCAATTTATAATTACATAATAAAATCAATATAGGGCATTCCCAACACAGGGACTCGCCCAAATACTACTGTAGTTGGCAGATCCAGTGTTTTGGAAGGTTGCTTTGTAGAGTTGATTTATACACAGTCCTCTGTTGTGAAGACTCAATAATTTGTTGTGTCGACATATGTGCTATAGATGGCATCGATGACACTGCAAAAATGCCGTAGCTGAACTTGTGACCATAGTGCCAACAGTATCTCCAATTGCTGTCTCTGGTTTCATCGCTGGCTTGAAATCCAGCGTATTGTATGCACTGTAAGCGGAAGGGCCATCCTTTGTATGTAGAAAAGTCACAGTTTTATGTTAGTTTCCTCATGTTGTCTTCAAAATCATTAGTGGGTGAGAATCCTTTTAAAGTGGATTCACACTGCAAAATGACATTCAGGTGTATTTTGTTTTGCTGCTTCTGTAATTGGTTTATACATGTATTTCAAAAATAGGCTTCATTTGATTTTGTTGCTATTTTGTTCACATCCTCTTAGTCGCTTGACCATTAGATAATCTGTATTTAAAGTTTGATTACAGGTCAATCAGATAATGGAGAAAACTCTCCTGTATACTAAATTAGTTTGAGATGGTAGCCCAGGTGATAAACAGTGAGTGTTTATTCACTCGTGGAACAAGTTAATTGGGATTGGACTCTCCTGGTTGTAGAATTTGGCAGCTACTACCTAACTACGATGTCAGAGCTCAAATTGCCTTTAAGATTGATTGCGGATAAGCTTCTCTCAGCCCCGGGTGGTGAGGAAATCCCTTTAATTCTCATTTAGATGTGGAGACATTCATTTACAAAACAGATTTGAACAGGTGCATATATAGCTACATGTCCACATATAAGTCACACAACAGTTTCTATCTCTGTATAATGTCGCTCTCAATGCAAGTGCCTTTGCCCTCACATCAGTTTTTTTGGTCTTTTATCTCATTTGCCAGTTATGTTAAAGATTAACAAGTTGAAATGAAAAAGCAGCCATCTGAAGTTCTCTCTTAATTAGGCCTGCACAATATGGTATAAAGACCATATTGAGATTATTTGCACAGATATTGCAATCGGTTCACGATTAGTGTGGGAATGATCATTATTGCATCACAATTTTTCATTTTTACTGAAGAAAAATAAGAGAATCATGATTTTTTTGGGGGGTGATGTACCAAACGAACATGTTTTCTTAGATCTGGAGAACAGTATATCTCTTATCTTCAGAGCTACAGTACTTCATTATAATGCAGTTCTGTCACACTTTTGACCTTTTATAAAAGAAAAAAATAGCAGCAATTTTGACCCCTACTCTAAACCTTGGTTCCCCAAACTGTAATAATGAGTACGGCTATTAGACATATTTACACTTTAATCTATTAAACCTCACCTGCAGGTAGTTGTTCTCTCTCTATATAGCCTACATAAATAAGTTACACAATAGTATAGTAAGGTGTCTGAAAAGTGTTTCTGTGGACCCGGCGTTAGTTACTCAGAGACCTCTCGGGGGTCCTCGCACCACACATTGAGAACCACTCGCTCTGGGCTCCTCGGGAAACTTCTGCGAGGACCGAATGAAGGAAGTCGCAGCCCATGTTTGGAAATGTTCTCCCAGGGGCGCAGTCAGCCGGACAGCCCACAGCGTTGATCGCACACGGGAAGAGACTGCTCTCGGACACGGACCACAGTGACACTGTGAACAACCATTCAACACAGCTATGGCTCAGGCGAAAATACAGGCGAAAATGAGCGAGGGTGCCTGCGCTAAGTTCAGCAGGACGCTGTCAATGGCAGATCGCTCCGGACGACTCCTGGAAAGTTTGGATCAGCTGGAAATGAGGTACAGTTAGGTAACAGGCCTCAGCATGTGCGGTATATACAGTGCACATGAGGTAACTGATTGAAGAGCCTTGGTACATTGCATGGGGGCTCACATGTAATCCTAGAAACTGTAATTAATTTAAAAATACATGGGTATCTTAACCTATATACCTGTGGGTTGCTAGGTATTAGTCCTGTCCCGGCCCGTTACTTTTGCACTGAGAGAGGATGTGGCTGTAAACGGATGGTTGTGGTATTGTTGTCTCTGTCAGGGTGGAGGCTTTACGAGAAGCAGCATCGGCCATGGAGCAGGAAAGGGAGTGCATCCTGGAAATGATCCAGTCCATACAGAACGGACAAGAAATGCGCAACATCTGTGCCGGTAAGGCTGCTGACTCCCACAGCTGGAGAGGAACTATCATATAGTCTGATCCATCTTGTTTTTGACTGTACAGTGCTCAGTTGTGTGTTGTTGTTTTTTTTTGTAGCTGCTCTGATTTCTCTGTAACATTGTGATCCAGTGAGGTTGTGCGCAGCGTTGTAGGTTGGGTGGTGGTTGTTTATGAACCTCGGGGGATTTTTAAGAGAGAAGGAGGCAACGTGATAGTTTTTGCACCCCACCCAAGAGAAGATACACGCTTGCATTTAATCAAGTTCATAAGAGTTTGTTTTGTTCATCTGGATATAGTAGGATACACACAAAGGGTGATTACATTTAAGTTATTAAATAGGATTACATTGATCCCAATTTCTTCATTTCCCAGTTAAGTATGTGCATCTTACATCAATACAGTGGTCACCATCAGTGTTGGGTTAGGTACTGCCAACAGTAATTAGTTACACTACTAGTTATATTACTTTTCTGCTACTCCCCACAACATTGGTAATTGTATCCCTTCTCCCCAAAATTTTCATTTCAACGATTAAAATCCAGTTTTGTTTGTTACAATCAAAGTAATCAGAATATTTCCAGCCGCTGAATGTAAACTTTTCCATCTTCCAAACTAATTTCCTCCACGATTACAAAAAATATTCCAAGGATGTGATGGGATCAGTAGAGGGTGACAACAAAAGTAATATTGTAACTAATTATTTTTTGGAGGAGTAACTGTAACGTTATTACTGAAATGTATTAGTAATTTGTTACATTACTAGCTACTGGGAAAAGTAATATTATTAGTATGAAATCCAGTGTAGTATCCCTGCCATAAATACCACTATTGTGAAGTATTATAATGTATTTATTATTTAATGTAATATCAGTTTTATGGAGGCTGTAGATTGTGTTGTTAATTGCTACATTTCATTGAATTGTAGGGCGTTTGTGTGACAGAATAACAAATAATAGGCTGCAATATAATATTATAGTATTTTCTCTTTTGTCAGCTGCATGAAAACAAAATTACAATAGTGTAATCTAACTCATAAACATCACAAACCAGTGTTTTAACACCTTTCTGATACAGTTTTTCCAGATTTTTGGGCCATCCTGTTGGATTACACTGCATCACCATGCATTAGTGCAAACACATTCACCTCAGCTGCATGTCTTACAGTAGACTGCATATGTGTTCCTATTGTTGTGTCCACCACTCCAGATGCATAATTGATTCCTTTTTCATTTTCTATTTTCTAGGAGAGAGAGAAGAGTTAGAATTAACTGCAAACCGTCTGATGGGCCGTACGCTGTGTGTGGAGGTCTCTGTTGGCACAATCAGAAACCCCCAGCAGGAGGACGCGCTGCGCAAAGCCACATCCATTATCGATGAAATGGTGAAAAAGTTACTGGATGACATGAACAGCGGCCGGGAGCGGCTGCTGGCCTTGCACGCGGCCTGTGTGACCGAGGCCCCGCCCGTCCCCATCGACCACAAGTTTCAGGCCTTAGTGATCAGCTGTGCTCTGGAGGACCAGAAGAAGATCAAGCGGAGGCTGGAGATGTTGTTGAGGAATGTTGAAAATGCTGAGAAGAACATCAAGATTATGGATCACCAAAAACTGGACGACCCCAAAGCCAATGGCTGTCAATAAGACACCAAAGTATAAAATATCTTTAATGCCACTAACCTCACCAAGAACTGTTATAATACTGTTCTAACTTTTAGAAAGAGCTATATGTAGCAGTCCTTACAGTGATACTGAACCTTAGGGCCAAAAATACAGTAAAGCAAAGCAGGGTTTTACAGTGATTTCTAAGCATAATCAAGTTTTACCTTTCAAATTGTCATATACGTTGACCTCCTTACTATGGATTGTCTAATGTGTATACCCAGTACACAATGTGTGTTCACATATGCTCTTAAGTAAGACAGAAAAAGATACAATGGCCTAGTGCTCCATTGGACGTTTGATCAGTTTATTGGAAGATCAGTGCTTGACAGACAATGAGTCCGATGTTGAAGTATCGTTTGTCTGTTTCCTTGTCTCACTTTTTGGATCCGGCACACGGTAGGGATTTTAGCTGTGCACACACTACCTCTTTGTGTGAAGGCAACACAAATCACATTAAGCTGTGGATTTTAGTTCATATTTGCACAAAGCTGTTTTTATGTCAGATTATGTGCTCACAAGTCAATAAAAGAAAACACATTGTCTAATAAGTCTTTGAGTATGTCAGTGATGGATGATGGGAATACACATACACATGTATAAGCTGGTTTTCAGGAGATCTATTCTACATAAGTTGTACAAGCTTGAATGAACACTCATTTCTGTCGTTTGTAGCAGATGCATTCACTTACAAATACAGTAGATGAAGCAGGAACCTTTATTTATTCAGGTTAGCCTATAGGCTGTGTCCTGTTGCCGTCAAAGATACCTTTATATACTGTATTAAACTATGAACAAAACGTCAACAAGGCAAGAGCAACATAATCCTGCAGTCACATGCTAATCAGCTAAAATGTCTTAACTCAAGGTCCACCTACTAGCTTTCTTAGGAGCTTTGAACTACATTGCATGTTGTTCATCAGTAGATGGAGTTTGAGCAAACTTCCATCTGCTGAGTAAAAGACTGACATGTGGTTGAAAGCTCTGGAAAAAGCTTGTAAGTTGACCTTAAGTTAAGATTTCTTTTAGTTAAGACTGAGCTTCCACACCAAACTTTGACACTCATTTAACCTCTATGTGAAGGCAACCGCATGTTTTAGTGACACAGTTTAAACTTTTGGGATTATCTCAGTCCCTGTTGGCCTTGTTAACGCTGACCAAATGCAACAAAGCCAAAGATTGTAGCAAGTAGAAGAGTATTGTCATTTGAAATTACACACTGGATGCCCAAGAAAAAAGTAAAGTTTTATTTATGTCAGATCAACTCCCCCCCCCAAACATAACATCAGGTGCATGGTTGTGTAGCACGCTTCAAGTTGTGATACATTTTTAACTGTTAAAATAAAAAAAATGCAACAAAGTGTTGTTTTTGTCAGACTGAAAGCATACATTATGTTGGTTTGTCTATCTAAGTCTGTGAAATAGGTTTATGAAGTCATGTGTGAAAAAGAAGAGTAACAGTAAGACACAAAGATTATTACAACACCTGAGTGACAGCACATAAGTATGGTTAGTTTTAATTTATGGTTCTTTAAGATTATATGCCATCTGCTTGATAAAGTGCGCTAAATCCATTCAGTCAAAAAGCAAAGAGGCAAAGTAAACACAACGTTACAAATAAGAGATAGCTTGAGAAGTAATTACTTACAGATTTACTGTGCAGGCAATTTTAAACAAACAGCAAGAGTAGAGATGAAAATGCTTACTGGTGGTCAATGGGGGAGAATGTAAACGTGGACAAGGCATTGCAACCACGGTTGGACATTCACTGATGTGGAAAAAAAGGCTTGCATGCATTACAGTTATGCCACACTTTTTTTTTTTTTTTTTAAAAACACCACTGTTTACATACAAACAAATGAGAAAGCTTGAAATGTGACACATTCTTAGTACCAATGGTATAACTGGAATGAATTCAGTCTTGTCTGAACTTAATGTAGTTAATTTGAATCTGGGAAAAACTTCTAACAGAGATCTGAGATTATAAAAACGTTTTTAAATGACAAAAATGTGTATGCACATGTATTCCCAGATATCCTACACATTCTAATTCCATGTAAAATACTTATCTTAATTATTTATAAAGGAAATCAAATTTTTCCACATGACCATATATTTCTTTGTGCTTGGTAAACCGGCGTCCTTCAGAAATTGAGTTTCGGAATAAAAATAAAAAGGCTCGAGGCAGACAAGGCAGTAACATACAATTCACAGCTAACTGTATTAGTTTTGGAGATCTTTTTTTTGGAGTACCCTCATGTAGTGAGAGGAAAACGAATTTCCTTGCATTTTCAGGCACACACAAGCAAAATGTCCGCTCCTCATAGTCAGCTTTAGGGTTCATACCACAGAGACAGACACCACTGAACAGTGAGCATTTAGTCCTTACAACTTTCTCATCCAACTTCTTCTCCTCGTTTCCCTCCATCGAAAAGGAGCAGAATGATACTTACACAATACAAACTGATTAGATACTACAGAAGCCAAACAAACATAAGAAGTAAAAACTAAAATCTTAATGTTAGAGAGTCTGATCGATGAGTTACTCAAAGCTGTACCAAAGTTAAAGACAAGCACAGTTAAATAAAATGTAAACAACTGAAATCGAAACATAATGCTGTAACTGATTGTGACTCGAGATACGACGAATCATTAATTCCTCTCGTGTTTTGCACAAAGTCCTAGACTTTGTGAAAGTTTTACAATTTGGTTAACAAATCCGTAAAAAAGTGTAAGCTGACATATAGAGGACTATTTTGTGTCAATAGTTATTGATATTTGGTTATACATAGGAGCACATTCTACTAATTTCATGTTACATCCATATCACTGAATTATTAATATCTTACGACAGCTCAAAAAGAGGAAATTTGGCACTATGTCAACACTTCAGAGAAAATATCACTCAACACTGTTGTGATTCGTACAAAAATACTTTAACTCTGGATTCGATAAGTGTTTTGTCCATGATAAACAGTATAGTTTGAACCATATTCTGTTGACAGTTAGAAAAATATGGTACAAAATAATCTGTGTATCTTCTACAATACACGCAAACAGATTGCACAGTTGAAATGTCAAAAACAGGAGTGGGTGTAAAAATCATCTCATGACACAACATACTGTACATGCACTGTAGCCGCAGCTGTTGCTGTTATGACAGGCAACCACAAGGGGAACCAAAGAGTGAACAAACATTGACAGGTTTTGTGCACAGATCATTGATGGAGATCCAAGGCTGAATCAAAAGGAAATCCAACCATCAATGTAGGGAAACAACTTAGGATTCAGATTGGATGTCAAGTTATCAAAGTAGTATAGAGTAGTATTTTCCCAGTCTGTATGGGCTTTGGTCTCTAAATGTGGCTACCTCCACAGAATACAACAATAATCACTCTAGTCTCAGAAACAATAGTCAGTCACTAAAATGAAATGATGTTATCTAGAGTAGGCTGCAGCTTCCAAAAGGATTTTTACTCTTCTTGGTCCTTTGTTTGTTAGGTCGCAAAGTGATGATTTCTCTGCCGTTGCTGGAGCTCTGGCTGCAGACATTACTACTTGTGGTATTAAAAACACCTTTGGAAAAACACAATTTATTTGAGTAATGTCACTCCACTAAAGAAAAGAAAAAAAACTTAAAAAATGAAATATAAAAAGTTGATAAACGGAAAGATTCCTTACCTATTTTATTGCTTGTTGTGTGGACCACCTCTGTCTCCTCTGCTGTTTGCTGCTTGAGTCTCTGAAGATACTTCTCAGCTAAGTACTTAAAAACTAAAAAGAGAGAACGAGCAGAAATGTTACAAGAGTAACGTGCAGAATGAGACTGTTTCATTTGCATTAGACCAGTTTCAGTAACCCACCTTCATTGACATTAAGGTCCTCTTTTACTGAAGCTCGATAAAATCTCAGCTTCAGCCTTTTAGCCAAAGCTTCAGCCTCCTCGCTGCAATGCAAGTAAAAAAAATAGAAAATGTCTTGAATTCATGGCAAGTTCTATTGCTTTAATTACAATTCACAGTCAACACTATTTGTCCTTAATTCATTCAGTGATTTTTGCACAAAAGAAACTATTACTTACTTTTTTATAACAGTCTCTTCTAGCAAGTCAATTTTGTTCTGCACTAGAACGGTGGGAATATCTCCGACCTCTGCCTCCACCTTCTCCCTCCAGCTGTCAATAGCCTGAAACGACTCCCTGTCTGTGGTGGAGAAGACTAGCACACATGCTTGGGCGCCTGGAATGCAAGACAGCATACCAACAAGTTTTTTTTTAAGCAGTTCGCTCTTTTAAAAATGATTTAATCTGTTCGGAGATAAAAAAAAATATGACACATAATTGATACTGTAAAAACAGCGGGTCAACTTCAGAACGGCCTGTGCTGGAGATTCACAGTGCACGTGCTCTGGTTTAATGACGTGTTGCCAGTCCACCATAAAATCTGTGACAAATAAAAACTTCAGCAAACCTCAGCAACAGGGAGGTCAGTGACCCCGAGCAGCAGTGTTATATTTGTCACAGAGGCAGGGGTCTTACCACGGTAGTAGGCCTTGGTAATAGCGTCGAACTCCTCCTGCCCGGCGGTGTCCCACAGCATTAGTCGAACCTCTTCGTCATTCACGCTAAAACATTGAGCGGGCCAAAAAATTATTTAATCAATTCTCTACAGTCAGCATAATATCATACCCAGCAGACTGTTTTTTAATGCCTTAATAAGAGTACTTTAATATACATATTTTACACCATGGAGGTTTCAAATATCACTGACATAAGGAGCACTGTATACCAGTACTCTAAACCAATTACTGAACTATGGTACCCCAGAGCCCTGCAGTGACATAAAATAAAGGATACAATCAGTAGAGGAATGAGAACTTCTGTGAAACAAGTTGCTTACAGTATCTGCCTTTCCAGAAAGTCCACTCCGATGGTTTTCTTGTAGTCCTTAGTGAAGATGCCCTTGCAGTAACGCTGGATCATACTGGACTTGCCGACAGCTCCGTTGCCGACCACGACCACCTTGATGGCCACTTCCATGTCTTCCTCCAACATGGTGGCGATGTCTGGCTGGTTGTCTCAGTTCCACTCTGCCTGGGTAATTTCAGTGATGTGACACGAACACATATACCACCTGAATGTGTAAACAAAACATGAATGTGTGACGCGTTTAGATAGTATAAGTGAAACACAGCCAGCAGAAACATCCGCATGAGTGCAACTCAAATATTCTCTTGTGACTTAACACGTCAGTGAGTTATCTGTCTAGTAGTTTAGCAAATATACTTAATTTCAAGTTGGTTACTTTGTTATGGTTAGTTATAAAGTTGATTTGCTGTACCAAAGTTGATAAAGTTTGATTTAGTAGGCCTTGGACAATTTTCTGTCCTCTGTTGGTGAAGAAATACTCAATGCAACTTTAATTTTCTATTCAGACAGAGAAAAGTCCAATGTGACCCCTCTTTCCTCAATAATCAAACAATTAAACAGTTACAATCAAACAATTTCCTTTTATCTAGATGCTTCAGCTTTTATTAGACACCAACCAACAACAGATGAGATCTGTGCATCTACAGTATTCAATCTATGACAGAATAATGGTAACATGCTGTCTATTTTGAAGCATCCTAGCTTAGGACTTGTCCCACCTAAAAGTGGTTCTGATTGAATTGAGTAGATCAAGTTTTTTTTAAATTTTTTTTTTTTTAAGTTTTATTAAATAACATATTAGCACACAAATCAGTCTGATCTGGCATAAAACCAATTTCTTAACCAGTACAACCGAAAAATATAGATACAGGTAGCTTATATATTATATAACCTATTTATGGAGTTCCTAGGGAGTTTATTTTTGTTATTGATTAATCTTATTTTTCTATTAATCTTATTGTATATGTCAAAAACAGAATCCACATTACAAGAGCTGTGTTGGCTTGTCAAATTTTTTATTTAATTGCTTTCAGCACTAAACGTTCCCACAAGCACTTAATTGGGGAGGGAGTGCACTCTGGTAAAGTGCTTAATACACACAATGTCTGTAAACTTTTACGCGTGCTAACATTGAACTAACCGTTGTAAATTTTTACCAGGAACTTGTTCGGAGCGACTGTGCAATGTGTTTATTCTTCCATTAGCACTGAGCGCAGCAGACTCCACATAGCAACTGGCATCTCTTCCACAGTTACATGCGTGTAGCTGCTGAGCGCAATGCTAAACAACATATTGTGGGAAAGCTGTTCCCAGTGGACACTGACAACCTACTGTGTGACTGCGGCGTCCAACAGTCTGAATTTGAGTCACAATATGTGTTTCGGTAGAAGACATTATTCATCAACTATAATTGAGCTGTGTGACGCAGCAGTTGTTACAACATGCAGGGAAAACATGGCTAAAAATAAAGAGGCGTCTCTCTTTTCTCTCTTTTGGTGTGAAGTTTCACATTAGTTTACAACAAAGTGAATACTTGAGATTAGATTTCACCTCGGCAGTCTCTTAGATGGATCTATCTCATCTCAAGTGAGGACTCAAGACCCACTTCTTTCTCACAGCATTGATTTATAAACTAAGTTACACATTTGCAGTTCCCTCATCTCTCTGTGTAATCATTTCTAGATGTGTTATTAAATTTAATATTTGTTTTAGGGTGACAGGAACTGAGTCAAAGTGGGTGGTTGTGAAGTTGCTTATGCACTCTCCACAAGCTGTTACTGTGTACCGTCACCTGTAGACCACAGGACAACATCATCTCTATTTGGAGAAGAGTTGACCACGAGTCATAAAAAGTTCAATAACTGAAAAATAAATTCCCAATATTGTGCAGTTAACACCAATAATAGGAGTGGGCAATTAATTAGTAATGATCATTTATTGTCTATCACTGTAATCGTGTTTACACCTTGAATTTTCCACCCATAGTGTGGTACACAATCTAACAATACAAGGTATTCTAATCATTTCTCCATTATCATTAAGTCCGGGTCATTTTTCATACCCACACAGACAACTCTTCTATCTAAATTCTGGATCCTCGAGTTATTAATTTCATCATTACCTATTTTTTTATCTATACATATTTTTAAAAGGCATGAGAATCTGAAATGTAGATACTTAAGATAGATGACTTTGTCTGCTACAAAGTAACATAACTGTCCTTATTCAGATCTTTTACACAGCAGGGCAGCAGGGTATCATAGCAATGCACATATAAATGAACTTTCTTCAGTATGTAACAGATAATGCACCTCTCCTCCTAGACACTGACTCATCTTCACAGACTCACCGATACTTTGCCCAGGCCTGGAGGCGGGGCACAGTTAAAGCCTACATTATAGGACACAGAGATTAAAAATACTTATAATACATAACTATTCATTTCTGCTGCTGCACAACGTTACTGCTGCAGCGGGTATTATCATCCAAAGTCTGCGAGGGGAATTAAATATTCAGTGAACTTTTCCTTCTGCTTTATTCCCTTTAAATCTGAATCCCTTGCCTCGGTGGAGATGTGACCTGTTGAACAGCTGGCAGGAGGGTCTCCAGGTACCGAGCTGCTGCTGGTACAGTCCGTAAAAAGCAGCTGACTGAAGGAAACTGAGCTGATGAGGAAGGATTGGAGTGCTAGCAAACCCAATACCTGTAAAAAAAAAAAAAAAATCACGTTTCAACTCACCCAGTGTCCGCCAGCATTAGATGAGCTAACCAGCCAGCTAACCCACAATCACATATCTCCAGCCTCCCTCGGCTCTTCTCGTTGGCAAGAGGAGACGCTGGTGACTCTGCTGCTTACTTAACGTTAGCTAAGGTTAGCCACTTTTCAGAGAGAGAGAGAAAAGGGACCTTCCTCTCCGCCCGTTAGTTATATCTAGCTGGTGACTGCATTTGGCCGAATGTTCTCCGCTTCAAAACGGCAAATTAAAGTTTAATTCTCGTCGACAGCTGAGTAAAATAGGTGACATTAACGGGATGAAAATCTATTGCTGTCTGTCCGCAAGCTCCAGCTAACTAACTACGCTGCGCCTGAGAGTAGCTAACCAGACAACTGGCTAGCTCGCTAATGTTTGTTGCTAGGCAGCAGAGCCAAAGAGTGCACAACGCAAGAGAGTTACGTCTTCGTCTTCTGCTTCTTGGGGATTTTTTTTTTTTTTTTTGTCGGTGAGTAAACAACGAAAATAGCACATTATGGTCACCAACTGGTTTGGAGCTGCCATGTGGCTCATTGACAGTAAATAATTAGGATATAATATAATATATATATAATAATAAATACAAGTAAAGTGACATACAACGTAAAACTATCACAAACATTCATCCTGTGAACTACAAAATACTGAATTATAGTTTAATTTGATCTATTTGAGGCTTAGTTCTTGGCCAATATAAGAACTGACCCTTACATCTTGACCACAAAGTGAAGCACTTGTCTAAGAAAACCCATATGTTAGATCAGACAACCCTTTCATGAGTTAAAGGTCCAGTGTGTAACATTAAGGAAGATCTATTGTCAGAAAGGGAATACAATATTCATAGGTATGTTTTCATTAGTGTATAATCACCTGAGTATAGGAATTGTTGTTATTGTTACCTTGGAATTTATATCTACAGAGATACAGGCGTCAAGACTAACTTTGTCACCACCTTCTCAAAACTCACAAGGGGAATTCTGACATTGTTTCACCGCAGCCACACTGACAAGATGAATGCTTATAGATGAATCTGCAGACATGTTTTGTTTATCTCAACATGCCAGATAATCTGTCTGTCACTACACACAAGTAAAATATCTTTAATAACAAAGAGTTAATAATTGATTATACTAATAATGAACAATATAAATCATAGGTCAACTTTTCCATAAGATATTTAAGCATGTGTAGTGTTAATGCATGAAACAGATTGTGCTCTGACGTGTCTTCTTTGGAGACTTGCTATTGGCTGATTCAGTGCTCGAGGAAAGGGGCACTGTGGGTAGACATGTTTGTAGTTCTTATGTTTCAACCATTGACAGTATGTTTTCCAAAGTTTCCATTTATTAATAAATACACGGGTCTTTCTACTTATTAATAGTATATTCTAGAGAGGGGAAAAATAATAATATATAACATTTCAGTCTATGGGTAAACCCACTAGTCCCGGGTGCGTTTGTTATGTAGTAGAGACGCACCCGCAAATTCCTGCATCAAGAAAATACTCAATGTATAACCAGTGTGTCTTCATTTCAAGTCTTAACTTCTTCAGCTATAAGACTGGTTGATATTTGCTATACAAAAGGGGTAGGTATTTCCTTTATTATATTTTCATAGAGGTCAGCATCAACGTTGGAGATACGGCGGGGCGGGCGGAGCAACTAAACGAGCGCACACTCGCTGCGACTCTCTTCCTGAAACGTCATCGTTAACCCGCGTTTGTTGAACAACGCACTTTGTTTGGCGGGATTGAGTTAAGGAGAAGCGACTCCATCGTCTAATCGGTAATATAACGAAAATATAAGCGTTTAAATGTCGTTCCAGTAGTCTTATATATGGTTTATCGTGTGAGAAGTTGTTTTAGTTTACTGTATGTTATCTAGCATCTTCCACCACGTAGAAGTAACGCTAGCTATCCTGTGTTTGGGATGTGTTGTTGACTTAAAAAAAAAAAAAAAAGGTAGTGTACAGTCTTGTTAACTTTACTTTAGGGTCTCTGTGTATGGCTTTAATGAAGTCTCCACCAGGGTGCAGTTGGTTTTAAAGAGAAAGCACGTATTTTATCGGGGCTGCAGGACCTACTGTAACATCATCAATCACTAGCTAACCTAGTATCTTCAGTCCAGTTGTCTCTTTAGTGGGTTCACAGCTGTCTTGCCAGATTTTTGTATCCCTGAATCAACTTATACCTTACTGAGTTTAGAGAAGGCAAGTTACTGCAGATAAAAACACATTCTGTTGCATGTATATTAAATATCTTTCTTCTGCTTGACACAGTCTGTAACAGTGACACAATGGTGATTTGTGGTGTATGAACACATTTGCAATAAGTTAGTGGAGTTGCCATATCTGCTGCCCGGGTTATGGACACAGGAAGTTAGTAACAGAGGCAGTAATTTAATGTGGCTTGGTTTAGGAAAGATGGATGCAGCATCCTTTGAGTTGTCAGACCAAATTAAGGTCAGTGGATTGCTAATTGTTAGCAGTGGCACCTTTTTATAGGCTGCAAGGATTTAATCAGTCACACAATTCTTCTCTAGTGCACCATGTTTTATTCACACAGTATCAGCACCCTGGCAAGGTAGCTGGGACCGTTATTAACATAAAGAAATCGTGGTACATTGGAGAGGAGTTGTGCAACTTATTCAGCTTTCATGAAGTTGTATTTAGACACACGCTGGTCTGTGCCTCGCAGTGTGTGTATTCTTCAAATAAAGAAATTGTAGTTGCACCAATTAAGCCTGTGACTACCAGTGACATATTATCTAATGATACATTATTGTGCATTATTGAAAACTTTCTTGTTTCCCCTTTCCATCAGGAGCTATGCAGTTTCCAAGCAGAAGGAGGAAAAACAACATCAACCCTCAGACGGAGCTCTATGGACATGCTCTGCAGTTCTATGGGCAGCCTCCTCTTGAAAACATCTCTCTCTCTGAATTTGAGACATTCGCTGTCGACAGACTGAAACGTAAGACCTCGGTCTCATGCCAGTAGAGCATTTGTAGTAAGCAGCAGTTTTCTTTGCTGTTGTGAAATACATTTTAAACATGTTAAAAAAAAAAAAAAGGACATGATATTTATATTGTCTTCTTTTATTGCCACTGCAGTGTTGAAGACCATTGAGAATTTAGGAGTGAGCTACGTGAAACTGTCAGAGCAGTACGCAAAGAAACTGGAGACTGAGTTTAAAAACCTGAACTTTCCTTACAGACCCGATGCTGTGAGTATGTTTAGCTTGACATACATCAAAAATGGTTTTAAAGTTTAGCAGTGCTGCATTTATCACGCCATAAGACCATTTACATGTCACCATGTAACATCACACTGCACTTGATCCATCAAAGTTAGTGCTGCACAATGTGCTCCTTTGTGCTTGTGGTTTTTTGTGTCAACAAAAGTAATGAAATATTTGTGAGTAATGAAAGCGAAGATGTCCATAAAATATGTATCTCCATTAACCCGTAAAGGATGACAGAAAAATCCAGAGTGGACCAAGTGAATATGAGAAACGAAGAAAGGACCACATCTCCCACTTCATTCTCAGACTTGCTTACTGCCAGACGTAAGTTAGTAGTTTCTATAAAAAAAATGCTATGGAAAGGGATGTAGTTTAAATGCAACTGAATACATGTTTATATCTAATGCTATTTTAAAGGGAGGACCTGAGACGGTGGTTTATACAACAGGAAGTTGATCTATTCCGCTACCGCTTCAATGACCTGCCTCCAAAACACAAGCTTGAATTTCTCCACAGAAATAATCTGCAATATGACACGGTAAGTTTTTAGATAAACACTGTAACTCAGAACATTCATTCTAGCTAAAAACTGCAATATTTTTGTTACCTGAGGCTTGACTGATCTCAACAGGGCACTATCTGAAAGCGTCTGTAGAATAAGCATTTCTGTACTAATCTTCAAGCTAAAAGTAGCAAAATGATGTCTATAAATGTTACTCATGACAAAGTACTCTGCTGTATGTGTCTCCTCTGGCTTTGTGGGGTCCTGTCGTAGTTGTAGAACAAGTCACAAATATGAGAAAGCTGACACAGAAACGTATTAGTGGTGAATTTCAGTGAATAATATTGTGCATTATATTCCCAAGCCAACAAGCTCCATTAGCAACATGTGTTCAATTGTAATTTCACTAGATGGAGCTGTTGGCTCACTGTAACAGAACCCCTGAATGTTATGGTTTCCTTAAATGGTGATTAAAATGTTGAAGAGGTTTTTTAAGTAAAAGAGTTAATTTTTCTGAGATTTTAAGTGTATATAAATGAATATATTTTGACAGAAACAGTAATTAATAATCCTAATTGCATGTGAATAATAACAGTATAAAAACAGTGTTTAGTTTCTTTTTTTTTTTTTTTACTTAAGTATGTCTTTAAGACCTGCATAAGGAAAACACTGCAGCAGCTGGGTTTCCTAAAACGGAGGTGAATTAAAAAAAAAAAAAAGTATCAACTATTTAATATTTAATAATACATCAACACATAATCTGTCAAGCAAGGATGAAAATGGTGCGTTCATCAGATAAATGATGTTTGGTTTCCATGAGCCTCAACCTTCAGTGTATTAAATCTGACACAGGTCTGCCTTTGCAGCTCTTTACTGAAATTCATCTCCCTCATCAATAACTTTTCAGATCAGTGTCGAGGAGAAGAAGACCCTGCTGGATAAACTTGTCAACTCCAGTTACGCCGTCAGTGGAATCACTGTGGAGGATCAGGACTTCTACAAAGTGAGTTCCTCGTCTTTCTCTCTCCATTGAGACCACTTAGAATATTAAGTGCCTAAGCCTCCATAAAAGGGATATGTTTGTGTAGAATATTATTCTGCGATTTGTATTACTTTAGTTGTCACATAGTGGATGATATTTGCCGAAGGGAGCCACCCAGACATTGTATCAGTAATTTAATGTGTTGTATTTTCAATGTAACTTTAATAAAGAAATGGCTTTCTTAACATTGGTATCTATCAGACAACCAGTAAATGCTCTTGGGTTAAAATCACCTACCCCACTGTAATTATCTTCAAAGTGATTCTTCCATTTGCAATCAAAAGCTCCATTATTTGAACTTCTTTCTAAGGTACGTTGTTAATGGTCAGTTTGACAAAGAAGTGTCCAGAATCTTAGAACAACAGGAGATCAGTACTGGTTATTTTCATGTTGAAGGGGCACCAGTATTAAAATTAAGGTTAGTTGATGTGTAGTCTCGCCTAGCCAGACCTCCACACTTCATTTGAGTGCTGTGCCAGCGGTGCAGAAAGGTCTGGCTGAACCCGTTATCATTCCGGTATAGGGGGAAAAATGCTCAGGCTTGTTTGTATTTCTTAAAACCAAATCACAATTGTCTTGGGTAGCTCTAAGC